TCCATGAGCATGGGATGTTCTTCCATTTATGTAGATCTCTTATGGTTTCTTGAAGTAGTCTTTTATAGTTTTCTTTGTAGAGGTCTTTTGTGTCCCTGGTAAGATTTATTCCCAAGTATTTTATTTTTTTGGTAGTTGTTGTAAATGGTATTCATTTGCTGGTGTAGAGGAATCCAACTGAATTTTATATGTTGATCTTGTATCCTGCAACTGTGCTAAATCTCTCAGTTAGTTCCAGTAATTTTCTTGCTGAGTCTCTTGGGTTTTCTATGTATAGGATCCTAGTATCAATAACTAGGGATATTTTTACTTCTTCCTTACCAATTTGGATGCCTTTGATTTCCTTTTCTTGCCTTATTGCTCTGGCTAGGATTTCCAGTACAATGTTGAGTAGAAGTGGTGACAGAGGGTATGCTCGTCTGATTCCTTTTTGCAAGGGGAATGGTTTCAATCTCTCTCCATTGAGAATAATGTTGGCTGTTGGTTTTGCATAAATGCCCTTTATTATGTTGAAGAATGTCTCTTCTATTCCTATTTTGCTGAGAGTTTTGATCAGGAATGGGTGTTCGATTTTATCAAATGCTTTTTCTGCATCGATTGATATGATCATGTGGTTCTTTTCCTTTGTTTTATTTATGTGGTGGTTGATTGTTTTTTCTAATGTTGAATCATCCTTGCATACCTGTTATGAACCCCACTTGGTTATAATGTATTTTTTATATGTTCTTGGTGTCTATTGCCTAGGATTTTGTTGAAGATTTTTGCATCTATATTCATGAGAGATATTGGTGTATAGTTTTCCTTTTAGCCTTGTTTTTTTTTCCAGTTCCTTCAGTGTAGCTTTGACTTCTTCCTTCAGTATCATTGGTTCTTGATCATATGCCACCTCCTGAAATGGATGAATATCGACCAGTTCTTTTTGGTACAGTCACTCTGTGTACTCTTTCCATCTTCTTTTGATGTTTCCTGCATCATTCAATACAATATTTTGTCCATAGAATCTTTCAGTATTGCAACAAGGTTTAAATTTTTTCTTCAGTTCTTTCATCTTGAGAAATGCCAAGCATATTCTTCCCTTTTGGTTTTCTAATGTCAGATTTTGCACATTTCATTATAATAATTGACTTTTGTCTTCTCGTGCTGTCTTTGAAATCTTCTGTTCAGCTCTTTTATGTCACTTTTGAGATAGTAAGGATCATTAAGACATTTATTCACAATAAACTACTAGCTTGGAACATTTATGTTGGCAGGAGAAGCTAAATAGACATTGTATGAAAGATAATGGAATGGGAGCTGAGATATATTTTTAAGGACCTTTATCAGCCAGTTGTGTAAGATTTCTACAGGGAAACCATTTGGCAAATTATAAACATTAATCCGTGAAGGAATTTGGAAGTACATGTCATCCTAGATATAGGACAGGATTCCGAGAGCTCTTAGGTAAGTCAGTTCTGACGTAAGTTGAATACTCTTTTTTTCCTTCAGTTTTCATTATTATTGCCTTTTATTATCACTCATATTGAAAACTGAGAGGAAGAAAAAAGTATTCGACTTACGTCAGAACTGACTTATCAGAGAGCCCTCAGAATCCCATATGTCATACTTTTTGTTTGTTTGTTTTTTATTATCACTATCTTTATAAATCAGATCTTTATGTCTTTCGAGGTTGGAAACACTATATATTTAAACTTACAGATATATTTTAATACAAGCATGTTGTTGTTTGTTGTTATGTGCTGTCGAGATGAACCAATACAAGCATACATACATACAAAAATTCACATCACAGAAATTTACTCCAAGATAAAGACTTGTATGATGTTGGCATATGTGGAAATAACTCCACTTGTGGAAGGTTCTGGATCATCTGGATGGGAATGGTGTTTCTAGTCAGAAAATTAATGAGAATTTTGTGTATAGTTCTTTATTTTTTTCTTCATTTATTTTGCGGTAACATCTTACTGCTTTTTGAATTGTCCGGTGGACTTTAGCAAAATGATCAGCCTTTGAGTCCATGTTTTCAAGCAAGTGAAGCGCCTGATTTAATTTAGACATAAATTCAGCTAATTCTTTCACTATAAATTCTTTTAATAACCTCTCTCCTTCCTCTTCCTCATCTGTGAGTGGATATCTGAGAATGATAGCGTCAGCAAATTTCCCACTACAACATTGTATGTAGTATGTATTACTAACAATAAGATATACAAAAAAATAAAAAAGGCTGTCATAAATGTGGTTCATCAGAACTAGAATGCAACATAAATAAGAGACTACCTATATGGGAGAAATAATGGTTTCAGGATGTGAAATCATGCTGATGAGCTCTTAGTTACTCTGGGAGGCAGCACAGCATAGTGTTTAATGCTATGGGCTTTAGAGTGAAATTGATTGGGTCATAGTTTCTTTTCTTTTCTTTTTACTCACTGTGTGACTTTGAGCAAGTTACTATTTTGTTGCTTCAATAATAAAACCTATTTCATACGGTTATTGTGAAGATTAAATGAGTTTAATACACTAAAGTATTTAGAATAGTTGCTGGCACATAGCAAGTATTATTTATAGCTGCAGCTGTTCTCCTCTTCTTCCTCCTCCTCTTTATTATTATTACTAGAAGTACCTGTGTGTTTGCCAAAGTAATTCTGCTACCTGGTGTGACTGATGCTTGATATTTCTTTTTCAGTTCAACTGAAGTTGATGACATGATTCGTAAATCTACAAACCTGTTACTGACCAGGACACTGAGCAACTCTCTGCTGAATGTCATTAAAAGGAAGAATATTGGACTTACTGAGGTAAAGCTTCCCTCAGTGGAAGCAGCCAAGGCAGTATGTTACCAGATGTCCTAAGTTCTGGGCTTTGTGTATAAATTAATTTTGCCTTTTACATGGTCCGTTGTACTCTTCCCAATAGGCCCCTAATGGTGAAAAGGTAAAATGAAACTGCTTGTTTTTCTTCATTCACCTTTGAAAAATCTGTTATTTTTTCTAGAATGTCATCTTTTTTCTCTCTAATTGTTTTTATTAGCTAAAACAATAGAATTGTTTTCTAGAATTGTTTGGAAGTATTTGTATTACATTGATAAGATTAAAAAATTAGTTGGAGAATATTGTCCATATCAGCTTCCTATCCAAATGAATGGGAGTTCAAATATAGTCTATGAAACCCCATTTTGTATGCATAAATCATTGATGCCGGCATACTGGCACTCAGAGTCCTTGGTTAGTATCACTAGACTCAGCTTTTGTTTTGTAATTTACCTCTTATCAGTTACTCTTTATCAGCATGAAATCTGTTTGGCAGAGGGACTGGGCATTTGAAATTGAGGAAATATGAGAGAAAGGCAAAATAGTTTCTTAGGATGGCTTCCCAACCTCACAGAGGGAGGAGGGATATTTTATATAAGTTGAGAACAGTATCTTGGTACATAGAAGTTTGGCCCATTGGCCTATAGTCCTAAAATTTAGAAAGGTATGTACTTTCCTTTCTCTTGAAACCAAGGATTACAAGTGTGGTGGTTATGTTTGTGTGTCAAGTCGGCTGGGCCTGGTTGAGTGGCTGGGTAGCTGGTGGTAGTTATTCCCCATGACGAGATGGGCAAACAACTGCATGGTGGGATCTACCACAAGTAGCTGAGTAACTGCTTTGGGTATGTGGTCTGATTCCCATATATAAGAAGCAGCTTTGGGAATGATCTCCAGCCTATGGCATGCTTGGACCCTGCATGAAGCTGTGTCATTGTTCAGCAGCCTGCCATGCTCTGCTGACTGTGGGACTTACAATGGATTTGAATTAATGGCCTGCTGTGTGGTTTGGTAACATCAGGACTGTGCTAGTTTATTTGTCAACCTTGGGCTTGTTAGCCTCAGCAGCTAGTAGCTGCCTGAGTGAAGAGATGCTTCTAGCTTCAGTGGGCTGGGAGAAGGAGGCAGAGCTGAAGCCCAAGGTCGAGGGGATTTTACACAGCCCCTAGAGCCTGGCACTTTGAACTCGGACTTCTAGCTTCCAGAACTGTAAGAGAATAAACTCCTGTTTGTTAAGGCCATCCCATTTGTGGTATATTTTTGTCAGAGTGGCAGTAGGTAACCAGAACAACAAGGTAGCCTCAGCCTGCTGTTTGTTGGAAATTACAGTGCCAAATATGTGAGCTTAGAGATAATTGATTCACAGGGAAAGGGAAAGACTGTTAGCCATATGTTTCACCTGTAGAGGTGGTTAGTTTGAAAGTCAGTTGCTCTAGGGAAAATGAATGCTTTGAATATACATTATCAAGGATTATGGTAAAATTCAACAAATGGTTAATGACACTAGTCTATAGGTAAAGACAGCTGGAAACCAGATGAGCATCTCCTTCTGATTTGGAAGTGATTTTCTTTCTCTGAAATAAGATTTTAAAAGTTTATAAGGTGAGACATTGGCCATGATTGTACTTTATTTATACAAACCTTTTTTTTTTTTTTTTTTCAACTGAAAGAGACCATAGACATTACTTATGACAGTTCCCTCATTTTGCAGAGCTTCCCTTCTGTTGCCTGGTATAGAAATATTAGGTATTATATTTGTGCATCTGAAAATAGGCTAATTTCTTAGCATAGAGGCTAAGGCACTTGACTGCTAACCAGAAGGCTGGCGGTTCAAACCCACCAGCCACTCCTTGGAAGGAAGATGGGGCAATCTACTTTCGTAGTGATACTGCCTTGGAAACCCAAGGAGGGGTTGCTATGAGTCGGGTCTGACTTGACAGCACTTAACAACAACAACAACAATCAGAAAGGCTACCTAAAAAGAAGAAGTTGAAGTAAAAATTAGAATATCATCTTCCTTTTGTTAGATTATACTGTTCTTCCTTTTTGAATCTCATCTGGATAACAAGTTAGTTATTTTTTGAACTATCCTTCATTATTACTATTGATACAACTCTTCTTATGCCATTAAGGAGATTTCTTTAGCAATCTCTTAAAAAGCATTTTAAAAGAAGCAACATAGCAGGAGAATAGTGTGATAGAAACAGCGTAGCCTCCAAAAGACTCGAGTTTAATGTGGCTATGCCATTTACTTACTGTCACATCTTAAGACAAAAGCCTAACTTCTCAGTAGTTGAAGTTTCTGCCCCATTGTCCTTTAGAAGAGCACTGTGCAGATTAAATAATGATAAGAGCTTTTCAAGTAAAGACCATATCATAATTCTTGACACTATTTCATTGAATATTAAATGTTTTTCCTAAATCATTGGCTCTTTTTAGGCAAATTACTTTCATTAACCATATCTTTGCCATATGAATGATAGTAACATCAAACACATTTATTTATTTTGGCTATACCAGTGGCATATACATTTGGCTATTATGTGGTATATACACAGTGATTTTCTCATCATCAACCAGTTAATCTTTGGCAAAGAGAAGACATTATATCCTTCATAATAGGTAACTAAAGTGAATTCACATCTGGAACCATCATCATAATAGCTAACATTTGTGGAACAGTTTATATTCTTCAAAGTCCATTCACAAACACCATCTCATTTAGTACAATAATATTTGAGGTTATTATTCCCATTTCATAGAAGATATAATTAAAGTGCAGGGTGATTTCCCAAGGTTGTACAGCTAGCAAAATGGTGGAAATTAGACATAAACCCAGGTTGTTTATTCCAAAACCTGTTCGCTTTTACTATAAGGCACTTCTTTCCATACTAATTTAATTATTTCATCATAACAAAGGTGGAGAGTTTACAAGAGATCCGTAGTAACATGGAAATTGTCCTATTAGAAATGATTTTGAGACAGAGAACAGAAATCCACCCAAACAATGGAATTATTATAAGCATATACAAAAAAACTCACAGAATCCTGTATCAGGAAGTCTGACAATTCTCATAGTACTTAAAAGTTCCTATATAGCTAATGCCTGTCTTGTCTCTTCTTTTTCTGTCCATGTGCTCTATCTTTCTCTTTTTCTCTTCACACTGGCTTTCTTGCTTTTCTCATGGTTTGTTTCTTCCCCAGGTTGATCCAACTGAACAGTGTGTTTCAGTTCTAGTACGTATTGTAACTTAAAGTCTTGTTTTTCAGACCTCAAATTATCCTTAATTCAGTCAGGAGGTACAACTGTTCCACTAGAGGCTGCTCTATGTAGGGAAGGCAGTTGAGCAGAAGTTAAGAGTATGTATCCTAAAACCAAACTGCCTGGGTTCTAATTCTGACTCTCCTTTTAATAACTTTGTCTTTGGGCAAATTGCTTTGCTTTTCTGTGAAAAAAGTAATAGTATGTGTCTCATGGGATTGTTGTAAGAATTAATGAAGTGCTTCATACAGTGCCTGTTACATAATAAACACTCAATGTACATTGTCTATTATTAGTAAGAAAGAGATCTGGATAGGCAAATGATGATTGGCAGGTCTAGTACAAAGGTGAAGTTTTTTGATTAGGAGAAGTCAAAAGACTAGAACAAGTTGTCTTGTCAAGATAAAATCATTAATTTATTACTTATACAGTGTTTATTGAGTGCCTACTATGTACCAGGAACTGATCCAACCCCTTAGGAAAAATCCATGAATAACAACAATAATAAGATAACCTTGTTTACATTCTCCTGAGGAAATCAGATAACAAATTATAAACAGAAGAAATAAGCCAATTATGTAGTATCATGGAGAGTGGTGAATGCTTTTGGAAGGAAGAAAAAGAACCATGGTAAAAGAGATCAGGAGTGTAGTGATGGTTTGTTTTAGCTCCTCAGTGCTGCTGAGAAATACTACAAGTAGGTGGCTTTAACAAGAACAGAAATTTATTTTCACACAGTTTAAAAACCAAACTCACTGCTATTGAGTCGGATCTGACTCATAGCGACCCCTCTTTGGGTTTCTGAAGCGGTATAACTATGGAAGTAGATTGCCCAACCTTCTTCCAAGGAATGGCTGGTAGGTTTGAACCGCCACCCTTCTGGTTAGCAGTCAAGTGCCTTAGACATTACACCACCAGAGCTCCTTCACACAATTCAGGAAATTAGATATCTGAATTCAAGGTGTCTGCTCTAAGGCTTTCTCAGTCCACTCTAGGGGGAATTCCTTGTTTCAGCTGTCCTAGCTTTTATATATATATATATATATATATATATATTCCTTTAACATCTCCACATGGCATCTGTATTACTCCTGCTTCTTTGTTTCTGTGCCTTAATCTGCTCCCATAAAAATGATTGGTTTAAGACACACCTTACACTGATATTGCCTCATTAACATAACAAAGAAAACTCTATTCCCCGATGGGACTATGTGCACATGTATCTGTTATTGTTTGTGCCATCCACTCAATTCTAATTTATAGCAACTATATAGGGGAGCTCTGGTAGCATAGTGGCTAAGACACTTGCCTGCTAACCAGACGGCTGGTGGTTCAAACCCACCAGCCACTCCTCGGAAGGAAGGTTGGGCAATCCTACTTCCGTAGTGATACTGCCTCGGAAACCCAAGGAGGGGTCGCTATGAGTTGGGGCCGACTCAACGGCAAAACAACAACAACAACAACATATAGAACCAAGTAGAACTGTAGAGTTTCCTAGGCTCTAATATTTATGGGAGCAGATTGCTAGGTCTTTTCTCCCATGGAACAACCTTTCATTAGCAGCTGAGCACTTAACCACAGTGTCAGCAGGGCTCCTTTCCACATGTATGTGGTTTAGGATTTACAACATATTTTTGAGGAACATAGTTGAACCCATAACAAGGTTCAAATTGGTCTTATTGGGAAGACCAAAGCCTTGAAGTTGAGTTAGCATTAAAAGTAAAGCAAA